TGCTGCCCCCACAGGGACTGGATAAGGACGACAAATATCTCAGCATTTCTCAGCTCTGTCCCTACAGCCAAACACATCAGAGGCCAAAGTAATCCCTGCACTACTCCTCACTGCTGGGGCATGGAAATGACTCTCCATGTCTGTGTCTCCACAGGCTGCTGTGCAGCAATAGTCAGTTTGACACTGAGCAATCCCAACACAGTGACAGGCCTGGAGACGGTGACGGGACCTGAAGGTGGTTCGGTGTCTGTGATGTGCCACTATGAGAAAGGCTATGAAGAGTATCCGAAATTCTGGTGCAGAGACAACGTGGTATCGTGCTTGGGCAGCCACATCATAGAGACCGCAGGGTCAGAGGTGGAGGTGTGGCAGGACCGATTCTCCATCCGGGACAACCACACCCAACGCACAATCACGGTGACCATGGAGACCCTGACAATGGCGGACACCGGCACCTACCTGTGTGGGATAAAGAAGCTATTTGGTTTTGATCCCACACACGCTGTGGAGCTGTCTGTGTCTCCAGGTAAGTCCCTGCCCTGCTCCCGTCCATAGGAGCACTAGGGGCTTTGCAGTGCAGCGCACCACCCAGGGGGGTCAGCGCCTGGGCTTGCTAAATGCAAATCCTATTCTACCGATCATGCAGCATGAATAGACAGCTGGCAAGGGGTGTAGGGGCATGGCTGCTGACAGGTGATGGCAGTGCCATGACAAGGCATTTGCCCAGCAAACACCGCAGCCTCAGCAAGGCAGACAGGAAACTCCCCTCACAGTGATCAGGGGTTGTGGAGCGCTGTAGCTGACTATGCTGCAGAGGAATCCCTCGTGTCCAGCTGATCTCCCAGGGGCTGCGGGTGTTTCACAGTGGGGGGTGCGCTTTCACACTCAGCCCCAGGCAAGACCCATCCCTCCACTGTGATCTTCCACATCTGGAACGTGTCTTCGCACACTAGCTCCTGGCCCTTCGCTCAGGGTTATGGACACACAACCCGGAGCCAAGGCAGGAGCTCCTAACGCTTCCTGGGATTCTCTGCAAGGGACTCAGACCCCTCCCTGACCTGAGAGAGAAGGGGAGTTGTCAGGGGTGGAGCTGGGTCTCACTCCCACTGTGGACCCAGCACCACTGACTGACCTGGGTACTGCCGCATTAGTGCCGGTTAGACTAGACAGAGTCCCCGTTGCCCTTAAAACAGACCAAGGGAAAGGCTGTCATGGCTTGCAAAACCTTTGCGTGATCTGCAGTCCTGTCCCTGCTTCCCCTCCATCATCTGGTCTTGGGGGTGGATGCTATCGCAGGCTACCATGCAAGATAGCATGGTAACATACTGCAGAGGGATGGAGCTGAGCCCAGCCATGGAGGGAAGGGCTGTGGGCTCCATCTCGGTAAGGCATGGGCCGAGGGGGAAGGGCAGATGGATTAGAAATGGGTCTCTCTAATCTACCACAAACTCACTTCCTCCCAGGTTTCCTGTGTGCTGCTGCAGACCAGAGCCTCCCCAGAATTAATACAGATGCAGACTCTTTCCTCCCTACCCCCAGCTCTCCCTGATGTGCCCCCATGCCAGAGCTGATAAGACTGGAGGGAAACCTAAGACCAGGCCCAGTAGCCCTATGCCATGTCCTTGCTGGGGCAATTTCCCCCAGTGACTGTAGGGATGTCATGTCCCCTATGTACCCTGGCAGATGTGGGCAGGGGTCGCAGCAGAGGGGAGAGCTCCACCCCCTGCACCTCCCACCCCTGGAGTCGAACATCAGATATTTTAAGCCTGCAGCAGATATGTAACAGAGAAGCTAATTGGGGGGCAGGGAGGTTAATTGTTTAAAACCATTTGCAATACAGTTTGTGATAATGTCCATTGTAAGCTGGGACTCACCCATGTTTCCACTCCCAGCTACAGCCCCGGGGGGGGAGGGGGGGGGTCTATAAGATTTGATTTTTTCAACCCTTGATAGCTTCCACCCTCTCATTCAGCAGGATGGACACGGACGACCCCAAGGTACTCACTTCCTTCTTCCTCTGCAGAGCCGGCCTCAGCACGGACAGCTGCTGAGAAAAAACAAGACGACTTCCCTAGCCAACACACCACTCCAAAAGGGTGAGTAAGAGCTGTCACACTCTTGGCCACTCTGGCCTTCTGTCTCATGGGAATTCACACAGTGCCAGGGTTTCTTTCCCCAGCTTCTTTCTCCTTCAGACAACAGTGTTGTATCTTACAGCATATAATGTCTCAGATGGAGATTGATCTCTTTCTGTCTCTCCACCTGTGGTCTCTGATCTGAACCACTAAAGCCTACTATTCCTTATGTCAAGTCTCCATTATTTCCACCATGTACCCTAAACCACAAGCTGCATCTGGGATTTGGCACTACCGAGAAGAAGCAAAGCTGTTTCTGGCTGTAACAGGGAGCCCTCACCGTTTTCTGAAGTTGGTGGGACAACTTGGGGGCTTAAGTCATGCACATTGAGCTTGGTATGTGTATGACTTAAGCATCCATTGCCTTAAATTGCTGGGTGTAGCTGAGAGCTTGGCTCAGCTTCCTGAATGAAGGCAGACCAGCCAGTCTGGCATTTGCAGCTGGGTAATTTCCACCAGGCACTATGTACTGTCAGGCTCAAGCTGCACAAACACTTTTTAGCTTTGTGAACAGTCCAGTTGACTTTGATGGGAGGATTCATGCCCACAGAGGAAAGGACATGCTCACAGTTGCAGGACCAGGACGTGACATAGCAAATGATTAAGATGAACTGGTTGGTGCTAGTAAATATAGGGCCTGGCTCTAACCAGGCTAGTCATTCAGGCTGCTGCACATCTCTGCTGATCTCGAAGACAAGGTAAAACAAAGGGATAGAAGAGTCAGTTAAACAGCAGGCTTTGTCCAGCTCCCGTACCCCTGTGTGATTTAGTTTCCAGCTAAAAGCTTGCAAATGAAAAGTGAAACAAATTGAATGTGATTGAACTGTGAAGCATCAGTTCTCCAGGACAGAGACCTTTAACTGTTGCCCCAGCCCCACTCCAGTTGACTCCAGAGGCTCCAGGCATGAAGGGAGGTGGGTGGTGTGACTGTATCAGAGAAATGTAAGATCAGTTAATCAGGGGGTGAAGGCACTGGCTGAGATTGAGCAAGTAAAAATAAACATGGACATCATTTCCAAGTGATGCTTCTTTCCTTAACCACACCAAGATCTTCCCTGTGATGCCACATGCACTGTGCATGTACACTTGATACCCCTGACCTTGACTGCTACATAAAATGCTTTCACAACAGATTTCCTGCTGGAGCTGGCCACTCAGATTTGCATTTGACACAAATGCCAAGTTCATTGAGCTCAAGCAGATTAAGCTGGTGCATTCAGCTGTTGTCCCCTGTGTACAATAGTTGCTCCTTCTGAATTTGCTTCTAAGGAAGAAAATATGCAAACAGAAAGACATTCTCATTTCTTCCCACAGGTCTCCAGAGATGGCGATCAACATCCTGATACCGTGCACCCTGCTGGTTCTCATCTTGCTTTTAGTCGCAATTGCAGTGTTGATCTTTATCTTCAGAAGGAAAAGAAAAGGTGAGAGAATACTGCGTATTCAGAAAAGACACTGCTGCATCTCTTTCCCTCTGTCTCCACATTCCTCTCCAGCCTGACTGCCCAGCTCTCCAATAATGTCTCCGAACTAGGCTGAAAGAGCAGGTCTGCGAGATGTGAGATTCAGATCATCTTATTCACGTGCCCCAACATCCTATTCTACCAGTAGCCTATCACTGGAATCAAATGAGGCTCCCTGTGAAGTCCGCTGCCACCTGTAGCCAGTTAGGGCATCAGAGTCTGGTCCCGAATCTTGCCTTCCCCCCTTCTCACCCACCATTGTAGTGAACAGGGGTCTGGCTTGAGAGCTCTGTTGAGTCCATACAACTCTGGTCAGTCTAGAAGCTGGCCGGGTTTGGACCGCTATTGGTATTTTTGGTGTCACTCGTTTCCACAAGACCAGCCCCTGCTAAACCCATTAACGTAGCCTGCAGTAATTGTCCTATGCACCACAGTGTGACTACTGTGAGCTGTGGTGGTGTGATCTGTTCCAATACTACGGGTCAGTAAAACCTTATATGGGAGATTTTGCTCAGGTGAAGGAGGTTTTAGTTTGTTTGTATCATCCAGTTGGATTCATGTTAACTTGGCAACTACACCCAAGTGTGGCTCATTTCAGGAGGCTAGAACTGTACTAATTCTAACGGGATTAAATCAAAGTGCTGTGTCCCGAAAACAAATGGATTCAGTAGGCTGTGTCTGGTGTGGTTGGATCTGGACCGACACAGCTCATTTTACATTAGGGATAGACAGTGAGACCTTGGTTTTAATGAAGAGCCTGGATCTGAGTTGGCATTTCCATGAGCTGGCCATGTGAAGATTGCTTCTACCTAGCTGCTGAAGCAGCACTTGCCTCTTCACCTGTTGCTGTAACTTTTCGTTAACTGGATCTATTTTCCATCTCCGTCCTTTGCAGGATCATCTGTGCAGACAGCCAGGAAAACCAGCCACTCAGATTTGGTAAGGGAGATCCGAATGTGCCTTGGTATCATTTCATTTTCAACGGTCGGGAAAGGGTGCAATGTCACAGGTGCCACTGTGCAAATGATGTCACAAGCGTTGCTTCAAATATGCTAGTGTCCTGTCAGAGTTTGCTTTCTGCCAGTATTCTAAGGAGCAAGTTTGCTGGCATGATACTTAAATAAACCATTAGGACTGCGTGAAATTTCACCGGCTGTTTCAATTCAACACTGTTTCAACTCATTTTGAGCTTGAAACAGTGAAATCAAATCGAAACAAAGGGCTTAGAAACAGCCTTGAAACAAAACAAGGCTAGTCGAAAAGTTTCAAGTTTCGAAGCAGCCAGCAGCAGGTGGGGGGAGACGGGGAGAACCAGGGTTGTGCTCCCAGCAGCAGCCAGCAGCACAGCCCTGGCTCTCCCCATCTCCCGCTGCCAGGCTGCAGGAAGCTGATTGCAGCTCAGGGGGAGGGAATTGAGCTCAGGCTCAGTTCGCCTCCCAAGTGCTGCAATTGGGCTGGGGAAAGAAACTGAGCTCAATCTCTCAGTTCCCCTCCCCAGCCCTATGATCGGGCTGGGGATGGGAAGTCAGCCCAGCTGGGTTGAGTTCCCATTCCCTGTGCTATAATTGGGCTGGGGATGGGAAGTCAGCCCAGCTGGGTATCGCTGTTTCAACAAAGCAAAACAGAACTGCTGTTTCTAATTAAAATTAAATTCAAAATGAAACACTGTTCTGTGGAACCCTCGAAACTCAAGTCAAAATGCAATCGTGCCATTTCACACAGCCTATAAAACATGTATGTTAGGTGAATGCTGCACAGTAGTCACAGGAAGCAAGGCTGGAGTTCTCCGAGGAAGCTTCTGCCAAGAGTTGTGATCATTCAGATGTATCACAGCACCAGCATGGCCAATCCAGACAACCAAAATGTTGAGTATTTGCAACAAATAGTTCCTGAATAAACTAGAGGCCAAGAGTTAATCACTCAAATTCTTCATCAAATAAATGCTAATGATTTTTTTAAAATAAGAACTAACCCATGCATGGAAAAGAAGCTAAGCAATGACTCAGAATTGCTCACCCAGCTCTAGTAACTGATTCATTTCCATCCCAGAGACCTGCAGCCATAATTGTCACCTAAACTGTGATAGTGAGTGATAGAGGGGGAGGGAGGTGAAAGTGAGCCAGGAAATGCCTCTGCTCTGTGCAGACTGCAGATTGCTCAAATCCCCTTGACTTCTGGCTATGAGCACATATAGATTCTACTTTGCATTCACCAGAACATGACAATACAGAGCCCGGTCTCACTCTTGTGGTGCGTATGTCAGCATTCCAGTGGCCAAGGTGTTTTTGTAAGCAAAGCATGCTGAAGGATTCCCAAGGAGCAGCCCCTGGGAACTCATATCCAGTGGAAGACACTGAAGCTCCCCTCAAAAATCAAACATTCTCAATAGAGTTGCTCACATTCAGAGTCTACTAATTGCACCAGAGTGACTTGCCATCTCATTGCCAAGAAAAGAAGTTGCAGTAATGAGGAAGGTCATACAGAAAAAGAACTAGCTTTTCAGATATGGTGGTAGTTCTCTGGGTATATCTACCGGCCCACTGTCATGAAACACAGTGACCCCCAAATTAGTTCAGGATAATAGCTAGGGGACTGGATGGTGTCTAGTTAACTCCTAATGCTTCTGATACCCAAGCTAGTTCTGTTGGTACTGTTGTCTGTTGTAGACTTACCCTAATAGTAAAATAACTCAGTGAGTCATACCAAAAAATGATGATGCAGCTACTGCTCCATGCCATTGATATAAAATTAGTCTAATACTTTCAGCTGCCTACCATGAACTTGATGATTTGTTCCTCCCTGGGACTTACTATTCCAGGTCTCCCTCACTTTATGTGGGTTCCATATGTGTGAATTAGCTCTTATGCGATGACCCTTTTTATACCAAAAGATACTTGGGATGCTCTCCTTGCTTATCCTCTCCGACCTATGATGCTTTTCCCCCCAGGATTCAGAAAAGAAAGAAGAGATTGCTTATGCCACCGTGACAATATCCACCCCAAACCAGCATGCCATCT